ACACTACCTGTGTACTTGAAGTTTCCATTCAGTGTTCAAATGTCCAGACTGTGTATTCTTTATCACTATGGTGCTTGGGTACTTAAATGAAAAACTTTGTGCTGAATTCCATTTCATAACAAGTGTTATGAAATAGTATTTCAAGATTGTTACCTTTGTCTAATTGTGAACATTTGTGCCAATACATTATCTTTTTAACAAAAAGAAATGAGTATGCTCAGCAAACAAGTAGTCTGAGCTCATGTAAAAGGGACATCTGTCTTAGTTGTGGGTCAAGAAATGCTTCCCTAAGGAAAGGACATTTTTGCTGAACTTTGAAAGACAAATGGAAAATATCCAGGGGAGAAAGTATATCAGGAAGTGGGTACAGTATATAAGAATACCCTGAGTTGAGGAAGAGCCTGGCTCAGGGCACAGAGTAAAAGGAAGAAGTGGAGGGGTACATGAGGCTGGCAAGGGAGGTTCTGTTAATGCGGGGCCTTTGTAGGCCATGTGAGAGAGTTGAAGCTTTATCCTTAACAGTGGAAAACCATGAAGGTTTTAAGTAGGGGAGCAATAGGATTAGATTTAAATTTTAAAAGATCATGTTAGCTATAAGGTAGAGAAACGGTTGGAGGGACAAAGGGGAGACCTATTAGGAGAGTATTTCTGTTAATCCATAGGAGAGGATGTTGAATTGACTAGGTGGAGGAGATGAAGAGAAGGGAGGGTTTGAGAAAGATGAAGAAAATGATCAGGACTTGGAAGTAGATTGGATGTGCATGACCTGTCAAACTTCACCCCCATTTACAAAGACCAAATGATATAAACAGATGTTTATACACATCCCATATATATTTTTTTTCCAATTTACATTTTAAACTTTTACTTGATTAAATATCCACTGGGTGGAGAGGCAACTAATGGTAGTAAATATCAGAATATATTTTCAAATTATGATGATGATATATAGTTTTGAATTTTATAACAAAACAGTTTTACTTCTGTCCCATTCATTTGGATGTTATACTATCAAGGAAACCGAAATATGTTTTTAAAATATGACAGGCTTCAGCTTGTTAAACCCACTGCCATCGAGTAGATTTTGATTTGAAGTGATCCTATAGGACAGAGTAGAACTGCCCCATAGGGTTTCCAAGGCTGTATATAAACCTCTACGGATACAGACTGCTTCACCTTTCTCCTGTGGAAACACTGGTGGGTTCGAACCACTGACCTTTTGTTTAGCAGCCGAGTACCTTAATCACTGTGCCACCAGAGCTCCTTTCAGCTTGTTAGAGACAGGGAAAAGAAAACAGATTGCCTTAGGTTTGAAAGAAGCAAAATTAATTTTTTTTTTAAAAAAATGTACAAATGCTATACTCTAGTTATATAAATGAGATTTTTTTTTTTAGGTAAGAATAATACATTTTTCACCACATTAATTTCATCTCAGTAACACTGTTTACACTTAAACAGAAATGCACGTCACAAATAATGGGCAGATATGTACAATATAATGCAAGTTGTTCCTCCCAGCTGTGCACATATGATTTATCATTCTGTGCTGGCAGTTATGTCCAATTTAGTAAAAGCTATATTCCACTGTGTATGAGAATCTTTGGTTTTTTAAGTAGGTTTTTATGTACTTCCCTTTACTGCTTCCATAAAGAGCAGAAGGTAAAGATATAAATGAACCAAAGCAAAACAGGCCTTTGTACAGGAGAAAAGAAGAGGCAAAACTGCAGGAGAGAGGCTGAGAGCGCAGGCGCACAGATGTAAATTCGTGTATCCCAGTGACCCAATTTTTCTTATAAACAAAAGAAACTAAAACCATGGAGTGCAGTATGGTTTACTTAGTTAAATTTTTCAAAAACTTCCTAAAACACACAAAAGACAAAGCCTTGAGAATTTATTGATATGCATTTACTTACAGTGCTTCTGGCTTTTATCACGGATGCCACTGAAAATCTCTGTATCTCTTTCTTTATTCTCTGTGGTGTTTTAAAAGGTAAACACTGCCAAGAGAAAAACCACTAAGTGACAAAGGAATCAGGTGTTTTAGCCAAGGCATGTTTGCAATGGTTATAAAATACAAAGTATTTGATTTAAGGGACTGAATACATTAAATGCCTGAAAAATATGTAGAAGGGAAAAAAATGATTTTTGAATAGGTGTGAGTCTACACTAAATTAATTAAAATATGCATAATTTAAAATTCTCTTTGATAGTTCTTTTGTAAAGATGAGTGTTTCAACTGTAGGTAAAAATTTGATGTTTTCCTAACCTAATGTGTTGTGTTTGTTGTTGTTGTTGTTGTTATGTGCCGTCGAGTCGGCCCCAACTCATAGCGACCCCTCCTTGGGTTTCCGAGGCAGTATCACTACGGAAGTAGGAT